TTGCTTCCCTGCTAGATGGCTGCTTGTTTAACTTCAAGCCTTTAAGATCCTACACACTATATCTTCTGATAGCCGGGCACCATCTGCTTTCTTCATATTTGCTAATGCACCCACTTTGTCTTTAGCGATCATGTCGGAAAGGTATTTCAAAGAGTGCCAGGTAATTAGAACAAAGTATTCTTGTGTTTAGGGAGGCCTTGAGTCGAGGCCCAAAGTTTGTCTGCTATCTTAATACTTAACATAAAAATATATGTACATTGGCTGGCCTCTATCCTTTCGTTGTAAATTAATATATTGACATGAATACATACCTATAGCTATACCTCTATAAAAAGCTTTTGCCTCCTACTTCTTCCTCTATGTCCTTTCATCTGCTTCCTGTCCCACTATCATGCTCACCCTCCATTCGGCTCTCAGTAATTCCTCTTGGACACACTGCCCTGGATCACACCCCACCAGGCATTATACCCCCTCCTCACCATCCATTTTAGATCTCTGGTTGTTCCTTGATCCCTGAGTTTGTTGGCTCCCCTCACCCCGTCTCCTGTCTCTCCCATGTCCCCCCAAGAACCGCCAGGCCCATTGTTTTCTCCTTGGATTATTCATCCTGCCTGTCTTAGAGAGAGAGATATCGGGCAAAAGAAAAAGAAAAAAACAAAAGACTGAAAAAAAACCCATTAGCTAGTTCCAGGTCTGTCTGCCAACCCTTATGTGTGTTTTCTAATCACGTCTGATGAGGCGCCAAGCTCTGTTCCCTGAGTCAGAAGTCTAGTTTCAGGATTCCTCAGGGGGCTTGGTTACTTTGTTTCTTTGGTCATTCTTGTGTAACCTTCTCCACTCCTACCTCTCCCCTAGTTTGAGCTTCTGGATCCCCAGAAGAAACAAGCAAGCAAGCAAGCAAGCAAGCAAACAAAAAACAAACAAACAAGCAGACAAAACTCCACATTACTGCTGAGGCCCAAGTTCCAGGCCCTGAATTTGGATCAAAATTGTTTCTCCCGGATCCTGCATACGTATTTTATTTAATTCTTCTCATAGAGATCCCTTGAATAAGAACAGTCCGTTAGGTGACCAGATTTTAACATTGGTAAAGCGGGATACCATTGATAAAACTTATATCCTGGCGAAATAGCCACATGGCAGCCAAAAACCGTATACCCTAGCTTGTCGTGCATTCTTTCCAAAAATCGGGACTTTTTAAAAAATGCCATGGGACACGGGACAAATTGTTAAAAATCGGACTGTCCTGCCCAAAGTGGGACATCTCGTCACATTTGAGGCCATTCTCCAATGGAGAAATGTCTGAAGTCGCTCCCCAGATAGGCCATTTTACAGCTTGTTTTACAGGCTGGTAGCTTGGACAGGCTGAGGGCTCTCATACTTTGCCACTTTCTCTGTGGTCACAGGTCTCTTTCAGCCACCCACCTGGGGAGGGACCCCTGGGCACCTTCTCTTCCTGGCAGCAGCTCTCATCATTATTTTTCTTGCTCCAAACCTTCCTGAAAGTCCCTTGAATGTCATCCAGATGTCCTACCTCATCATTCAAAGGGAGGAAACAGAATCCCCAAACATTTTAAGAAAGTTGCAAACAATTTAGCAGCCTACTCAGCCAGCAGCTGGGCCCCGCATACTTCCCTCTGCATCCTGGGGTCTGCTTGCCTCTGTCTTGTCTCCTCTGTGCTGTCTGAATTACACTACTTTTATTTTACTCCTTGCCCATGTTCCCTTTTTCCTGTGTCTGCTCCAGTTCTCACAATACCTCGGCTGGCTCCACCCAGAGGCCCCTGCCCTTGCCCTGATGACCACACAGGTGTCACCTCCCCAAGTTGAAGCTCTCACCAAGGCCATCCTCTCTTGCAGGTGTGAATGTCGCTCGAAGCACCTTGAGCAACCCGGGTTCCTGCCAGTGTTTGCAGGGTTCTGCTGGTTCCTGGAGGGGTGATCCCACCCATCTTTAAACCAGAGAAGCAATGCTGTTCTTTACTACCAGTGACTTGATTCCAACTCCTAGTGAGCCTAGGTAGGGTATCGGTGGATGGAAATCTTTCCAGGAGCAAACAGCCTCATCTTTCTGCCCCAGAGAAGCTGGTGGGTTTGAATCACTCACCTTCCAGTTGGAATCCCACACTTACCCAATAGCACCACCGGGGCTCCTTCGTTGCCATTAGCTTGATGGAATAAGGATGGATGGGTTTAGTGACACACCCATGATTAGCTTTGGGTCTCACTGTTGGGATCCACAGGGTTTCCAGGGGCTGGATCCCAGAAGGATATGACCAGTTTTCTTCTGAGCCTTACTCTGGACGCTGCAGTGAAACCTCTCAGCATCACAGCAACATCCACGCACCACTGAGACACAGTGGTGGCTCCCACACAGTGCGCTGGCTGAGAAGCACGCCGGGGGTCCCTCAGGAAGATGAGGGCTCCATCAGTGACCCAACCATCCATGTCCCCCTCGTGGGGTGGTCATAGGAAAAAGCAAATGAAACCAGGCAAATGAGCAGCTACCCACCCTGTAAGGAAGTAAGGTTAACTGCCATACACAGCCCACCCTTAAGTACACACACACCCCAAACACCAGAACCAACTCACGACCATAAGCAAACTGTTACCCAAGAAAATGTGTTTTAATTAAGTATCAACACACACACACACACACACACCCTAACCACCACCAACAACTCACGACCATAAGCAAACTGTTACCCAAGAAAAGGTGTTTTAATAGTCAGCATCAAGAGAAAAGATCAGGTCTTGTTATAACAAAACTCCCCACCATGGTAGAAATGCTGCCACCCTCATCGTTCCCCAAGCCCATCTTAATTGTTTGGGCGGCACAACTTCTGGATTTCCTCGGCAAGCCCCAGGCAGTGCAGGATGCGCTTCTTCTCGGCAGCCAGCTCCTTCTTAGAGAACTGGCCCAAGAGTTTTTGGACGAATATATTTTGGTCTTTCAGGAAAATGTTCTTATTGATTCCGACATTGGGCATGTTCTCCAGGGCCCCGGATTTGAAATGGAAGCTCAGATATCGGTTCCGTTTTAGGCCGGGCCCTTTCTCTTCAGTCCACGTCAGCGGGCTGCAAGTGCAGAGAGGAGACACGGTAGTGGCCACTCAGGTGCCTGCCCTTCCGGGCCCAGCCCACACCAGGCGCTCACCCCCGCCCTGCCCTGTCCCCCATGCATGCAGCTGGTGCTCAACGTGTGGCTCTGTGTTCCTACTTTTCCTGTCAACCTTAAATTTATCTAATTGTGTCACCAAGCAGCAAAGCTAGCCCAATGGTGACTGTGCACAAATATCAGTTCGTTATTCTGCGGTTTTTACCCTGAGTTTCACAGAGCCCTGCTGGAGAATCAGTCCACAAGGCACTTCCATGTGGATGTGCACTTTCGTAGGAGCGAGCTCTTAGCTTTCAATGGATTCTCAGTGACAAGTGACTTCAAACAAGCGAACAGAAATCCCAAACTCCCACCGCTGGTGAACAAGTTTCTCCTGCAGGCACAAGTCAGCACTCTGAACAGACAGACATCTATAAACTCTCTCCGTCTCAGGGGGGGAACCTTTTCTTGCCTCACAGCTAAGGTGACCAGACGTCCTGCTTTTGGCCAGACAGTCCCAATTTTTGGCGTTTTAAAAAAGTCCCGAATTTTGGAAAGAATGAACGACAAGCTAGGGAACGGTCTATTTGGTCCACATAGACCAAATTTTTAATCAAGAGACCCCCACCCCGACCCCGCCCCTGGTCAATGGTGTCCTGCTTTAAATCTGGTCACTTACTCACAGCAGACAAGAGCTCTGCTGTCAGCTTGATGTAAAACTAGAGAAATCTCCTGAATAAACATTGATGTCAAGAAAGACCTTGATTAATTTGATATCATAGGGTATAAAATCTGTTTTCTTACAGTCTGAAAACAAAACAGCATCAAGGGCTGTTTAAATTAGAAACAACCGCTACAGGTTTTTTGCACCTAAATATGAGTATCTTCAGTTGGAGAATACTCCTTCCAATGCGTGCTGATATGTAGGCCACAGGTTTGCTTTATACTTGATACCTTTGAACAATTTACAACCTGGTCCACTCTGGGGGTAACAACAACTGCTGCCCCTCCCAGCCCCGCAGGAGAAAGACGGGCTTTCCACTCCCACAGTCACACTCGACACCCTCCCAGGAACCCGCAGAACTGACTCGATGACAGTGAGTTTGAGTTTTGAGAATGATCAGGTATCAGCTATCATACTTCTTTTGTGGACTTGATTTTCACATAGTTTTACAATCGTCTAAATATTGCCATTTTCATTATTTTTGTTTGTATGCCCTATCTGATGATATACATGTAATCTTTTCTTACTGTCAAATATCCGAAGCTCTTTCCAAGCCCTTAGTGAATGCAGCACCCTGTTTGCATTCAATAGCTTCACATGCGTATATATTAGCTAATAATGTGTGTGTGTGTGTGTGTGTGTGTGTGTTTCCCCACAGACTCTTCTTCCTAGAACCAAGTCTCAAGCATGAAGGGATGTGCTGTTGGCTCCCAGATGCCTCTCCCTGCTTTCTCCTTCCTTCACTTTCCCCCACTGAGTGGACCAGTGTCAAGAAGAAGGCATGTGCTGCATAGTGCTTAGAAAGTCTATTGGCTCCCAGAAGGCCTTTCAGCCTTACAACCCTTAAGAGAGCATTCTACTGTGTTCTGAGGGTTGCTGAGTCAGCACAGACTCCATGGCAGTGGGCTTTGGCCTGTGTGTAGAGGCAGAGGGCTCTCAGGGAGGTGGAGGGCCAGCCCCTGTTTCCCTCTGCCTTCTGTCTTCCTCCTTGCTAACACTCAGCCCCCGGGGCTCCTTGCCCACAGTCTCTCCCAACGGACTCACCTCTTTTGTTCCGTCTCCAAGCACACGGTCATCTTCATATACTGTTCTTCCTTTCGCTCCACCAAGGTGGCAGACACAACAGAAAGCTCCCCAAAAAGGGCGACCAGCCAGGTCAGGCGAGAGATGCCACTGAACGCCGGGAAGCCGAACTGCTCTTCCTTCAGAGGCGCGGCTGTGGGGAGTCGCAAACATGGTGGGAACAGGAAGCCAGGGGTGACAAGGCAGGGGATCGGGAAGGTGCGAACAAAGACACGTACAGGGCTAACCCAATCTCTTTCTTTAAAGCCTCTCCCATTCTTCTGTGCCCTAAGTTCCATCTTATGCCTCAATCTGCAAGCTACACTACCTGTGGGACACCTAACCTATGGACTGTGTTGCTGTAATTTGAAGTTCCTTTAAGACCTGCTTCACCATGCTACTGGAGTAGACATCTCTTGAGCTGGGGACTGTCGGACCCTGTCATCTGGCTGATGGTTGGTGACCTGCCTTGCTGTTTGTTGCCTGTGCCCGGATAGCCTGAAGTGCTCTACAGAGGACTGCTCGGTGGCTCTCAAGACTTGGGACTGCCAGTGTCTCACAACTGTCTCACGGGAGTAAGTTGCATGGAGCCATTTGTACTGCTTTATAGATTAATTGTTTATTTCTTATGCTACATATCTATCTATATAAATATATATAAAATCATTAGTGTCCTAGTTTTGTTTCTCTAGAGAACCCTAGTAGATAGACATTCTGTTTGTTCTCAAAGAATGCATAAAACCCATTTTTTCTTTAAGCATCCACCTCCCCCAGCCTTGTAAAAAAGGACCACATAACAATGCACAACTTTCTGCGGAGAAAGAGCTCCAACCTGGGAAGATGTCAGGAGCGAACCTTCGGCCTCAGAGACTGGCACAGAAGCATCACTATGTTCTTAAGTTTGCACATGCCTTGTTACCCAAGGTCCACCAGTGAAATAAATCTCATTTGGAGGAAGAATCAAAACAGATCTTTTCATTACTCATTGAAGCAGAGGAAAATTAAATAAAATCAGCCCAGGTCTGAGTGTCTTTAGCAGGAAGGAATCCCAATGCGCGTTCCAGGAAGCCGGGATGGGACTGGAAAGGCCGTCTGGCCCTCCACTGGGGAGATCTGCAGCGGCCAGAACTGACCTGTGAAGAGGAGAGATCCCTTCAGCAGGTCCTTCCCCACCACTTCTTTCTTCAGGAACGCAAACTCCTCCATCAAGAGTTCAACATGCTCCTCATGTAGGATTTTTCCTGTCACAAAGTAAGAAAGGCAGTTATTCAGGGACTCCAACCGAAAGCTGAACACCAATGCCTAGAATTCCTCAGTCATCAGAAGGGACAAACAACCCAGGCAGGTGCATGGACAACAAAGTGTGGTCCATGCAAACTCTGGCACCCTACTCAACCATACAGAGAAACACATCCCATAACATGGATGAAACTTGAAATCAGTCACAAAAGGTGAAGCTAGTCACAAAAGGACAAGCACTGAGTTCTCATTTGAAATATCTAGAACAGAAAAATACGCAGAGAAAAGAATGTCATTAGTTGTTATGGGAGCGGAAAACGGAGAGTCATTGTTTAAGGGCCACTGAGTTTCTGTTAAAAGTGATGAAAGATTTTGGAAATGGATAATGGCGACAGTAGCACAATACGGCGAACGCAGCGAATGTCAATGGAGTGTAACTTAAAACTGGTTACAATGGCAGACTTTTAGTTATCTATCATTTAGGCAGTCATGGTGGTACATTCTGGAGTCTCCCTTGAGAACAGAAGAGCCCACAGGTTTCACTCTGACACCTCCCAACACCCTAGCACCACTTCTAAGCGCCAACAGAGGGGAAACCTCAGAAAGAAAGAGGGTCCACTTGTTCCTAAAGGCAAGATGATCTAGCCAAGCTTTAGCTTCAGCCCTGGACAGAAGGGGGCACTGAGAGCTAGAGCCCAGGTAGAAGAAGGTGCTACAATTGAGGGGAGGGTGGGGGTAAAGGGGAGCCAAAGGCAAGGAGTTCACAAACAAGGAGAATGGTTTGAAACTGATTGTAGTAACAATTGTCCAATGCTACTTCACATGATTAAACTATGGAATTTTATGATATCTGTATTAGCTCTTAATAAAATGGTTTTGAAAAACAAAATTAGACTCTTCATTCCAAAACGCTGGAAGAACCAGATGATTGAAAAAAAAGAAGCAAAACAAGTGTTAGAGGGACGATAAAGCCTTAATATTAATAACTAAAACTGATTGTAGGAAAAAGTTGTTAAAATATTTTGATTTTTTTTTTAACATCTGGACCAGTAGCTTCATAAACTACTGTGTACAATCTGACATGTTGGCTGAATGATGATTACCTGGGTTCATCCAAATTCATTCTGCACGTCACATGTCTGCATTTTCCTGTGTGGAAGTGATAGCTCAATATAAAAAGAAGACAAGGAGTCATGCCGTTCAATGTGTTATCTGGGTGAAGCAGATGTCATTGAAACTCAGGTTTCTGCCAGGGCCTTCAGAGCTGCTTTTCTAGAAGCAAAGGGACTTGTTCCTTAGCCACTCTCTTGACAAAGCGTGCCAGGTAGCTAGCTTAGTCACCAATGCAAGTGCTAGCAAAATCGGTACCACTTCGTGTCTTAAACAGGGCAAGTGTCGGGGGTGAAGCATGGGGCTAGAGAAACACATCTTCTAGTTCCGAGAAGGCCCAGGGGCAGAACAAAGGCTGGCCCACTGCTGTCATCGACAGTGATTCATTTAAGGTTGTGTCTTAATTTTATGAAAAGGGAACTGTGAATTTTGTTCCACCTGTGATATTTAAAATGCCGAAAGGACCCCTAACCATGCATCAGTCAACTACATAATACCCCATGCTGGGGTGTGCTCTCCCCAGTTCTTAGACAGTTCTTCTATGAAATTGAGACCTTGATTCCTATAATCTGCTTCTTACCCCTGGAGCAGCACGGAATGTTCCCCTCCTGTGGAGATTTTGAAATACTTCAGTAGTTTGGAATCACATGGTTGGCAAGCTTGGCTGCTAATCTAAAGATTGCAGGTGTGAGTTTAGCTAGAGGAAGAAAGTCCTGGCAACCTACTGCTGCCCTGGCCACTGAAACCCTACTCTGACACTCATGCAGCTGTCCTGAGTCAGAGCTGACTGGACGGAAACTGGTTTGCCTGGAGTGCTTTCCATCTGTGTGATCCATTCGACTTGACGTTAACGATTTACACATCTAATGGGCTGCAACCTAAGAACCCTTGGGAGGACGGTGCAGGACCGGACAGTGGTTCGTTCTGCTGCACGCCATGAGTCTGGCACCTAAGACAGCGGGAGCCCTGGAAGACTTGGCAGGTTAGGAATTGGGCTGCTGACTGCGAGGGGAGCAGTTAGAAACCACCAGCAGCTCTGGGGAGAAAGAGGAGACTTTCTGCTCCCAGAAAGAGGCACAGTGTATCACCCCACAGGAGCAGTTATAGGGTTACGGTGAGTCTGAATCGACTCAGTGGCAGTTTTGGGGGGAGGCAGTCAGTCATTATGAGACCATTGGGCCTTGCGTTATTTGTTCAAATTATCTCTGACCTTTGCCATCGCCGATAACACACGCTCTTTTCGGTGAGTGTGCAGGATTGCATAGGGTGCGTATGGCCTGGGCTGTGCCTTCACTTGCAGCAGGCGAATTCACATGACTGATGGGCGGTTTGTGCTCATCTGGCAGCTTCAGCGCCTCAAGGGCAGGGGCCAGCTCTTTGACGCCGTAGTCCTGGGCACACCCTCCCGCTCACACCAGAAGAACGACCATGCACAAGTGCTAGTCCCTGCTTCGAGAATGAGTGATGAATACCTTCCTAGAGTGCAACTCATTTTACGGCGAAGAGCTCCCTCCTTGGTTTTAAAAAGTCCATTCATGATCCGAACAGACCCACCCGGGTTATGCTTATTTAAGGGACCACTTACAAAGCCCCAGTATAACAATGGTCTTTGGCAGTTTCTTGTTTTTTAAGAAATTAACTAAAAAAAAAAAATAGTAAAAAAAAAAAAGAAGAACTTAACTAAAGCCATACTAAATTCAGATTTCCTGCAAGCTTCCCAAGTGTGCCTTTTCTGTTCCTGAATCCCACCCGGGACACATTGAGTTCTGGTGTCTCCGGACGGTCCTCTTGGACGGCTGAAAAGTTGTTCAGGCTCTCCTTGTTCATGAAGCTGGTGGCTCCGAGAAATGCCAGTCAGGTATTTGTAGACTGTCCTTAACTAGATCTTGTCTCATGATTTTCTGCTGAAGAATGTCCCTCGATTTGATTTTGTCTCATGTTTTTATTCAGATTTCAATGGGCGTTGGGAAAGGAAAGCACAGAGGCAAAGTGCCAGACTCGGCGCATTGTGTCGGGGGCTACAAGCTGTCAACAAGACCTATCCCCGCGCACTGGTGAAGGTAGTGTCTGGCTGGCTGCCTGCTTCCCCCACTGTTCTCTTCGGAAGGAAGCCACGATGCACAGCGCTTTATCTTTTTGAAAGAACAGCCTGTATAGTATCCATATTCGAAGGAGCTTGATTTCTTAAATTGGCATCCTTTCATTTATTTCTCTGTCCCTGGATGTAATTCGTATACTTAGAATTGTGTCCAAAAATCCAACTGTCCTCAAGAAAATGTTTTCCACGGGTGATCCTGTGCCCCTCCCATTGCACTGCACAGAAAAGGCTGGTGATGCCGGCCGGACTGATGGTCACCATCATCTGGGTAGAACGGCAGCCAGTAGAGCTCTCCCTTGCCCACATTCCTTTTCCCTTTGCAATTCAGGAGACACTTCTATGGGCTATCCTTTGAGAGCTTGTACTTACTGCATGGACATCCGTGTCATGAGGCACATATAGGAGTAAGTCAAATATATTGCTGTTGGGGTCCCGGTTCATACATACACAAGTTGTTGCTAACGAGATGGCATTAAACATGCCGCTGCAATCAGTGAATGGCTCCAGACAAGTCCCTCAGCTATGTGTTTGTCTTAGTACCTTCAAAAAGCAAAAAAGGTCCAATCAAAGCGGTGGTTGCTGAAGGGGTCTGCTGTGGCAGCAACATTCAAGGAGGCAGAACAGTCATTTCTTAAGGTTATGGGATTTCTAGGGATTCTGAAGGGTTGGTGTTGATACATCTTTTCAAAGAATGATCCTGGGGACCTCTCGGTTGACGTTTTAAGAAAATGGAAAATTGCATCAGTGAGTAAAAGATCAGGGAAGTTGTGGCAAGAACTTTTTCCACCATGACAATGCATCTTCTCATTCTTCTAGGGTAGCGAAACGCAGCCCATCCACTCTCCAGCCCTGTTATTGCCCCGTCAGACTTCTTTTTGTTCCTCAAACTCAAATAACATTGAAAAGGAACACAATTCGAGTCTCACAAGGATGCCAACCCACCATTTTCTGTGGTGCAAATCGAGGAACATGGCAATCTTTACGGAACAACTAGATGGAAACACCAGCTTTAGAGGTATAGAGACCTATGTAGAGGATATGTTGGGAAACAACACGTTTGCATTTTGATATTTTTGTTTAATGAAAAACAAAATATAACTCACTGCCATGGAGTCCATTTTGACCCATAGTGACCTTATGGCCGGGGTAGAGTTGACCCTGTGAGTTTCCAAGACTGTAATTCTTTTTAGAAAAATCACTTTATTGGGGGCTC